TTAAATGAACGAGCAAATCATTTGGCCATTAAAATTTATTGATTAAAACAAACACCACCTCTTCCTATTTTCCTTATAAAAAATTTTACACTCCTAATTTGGTCTCATTCTGATCACTGTAAAGGAAGCTGTAATAAAGGAGTGAAGCATTGTACAAAGTGACGGAACAGCTAAAAAGCAACGCAGTTTGGATATCTTGTCACAAAGCTAGAGTGTGACAATATTCCATCCACACGATGTCGAACATTAGTGGAGTCGGAAACCGCTCGTCGAGAGCAGCACACTTTTACTACTGCGCCAATGGTTTGAATGGACTTCACAACCAGATCATTTCATCCTTAAATGTGCTTATAGCAATCACATCCTTTCCAGTTAACCTCTTGATAATTGTTGCCCTTCAAAAAATTACGTCGATTCATCCGCCATCGAAACTTTTATTCAGCTGCCTAGCATTGACTGATCTTTGCGTCGGAATCATATTGCAACCTTTGTATATTGCCTATTTGTTGTCTCCGTACCACTCTAGTCTCTGTTACTATCTGGAATATGTTTCTCCAGTTGTGGCCTTATCTCTATGCGGCGTATCTTTGCTCACGTCAACTGCAATAAGTGTGGATAGATTGTTCGCGCTGGTGCTTGGGTTAAGGTATAGACAAACCGTCACTAGGAAACGGGTCTGGGCCTTTGTAATTTTTTCTTGGCTTGGAAGCAGTAGTAACGCAGTAGTTTACCTATATGGATATCGCATTCTTTTATTTACTGCCAGTGCAATAATGTTGCTGTGCATATCAACGTCCTCGTTCTGCTACCTGAAAATATATCGTATACTTCGCCATCACCAGTTTCAAGTCCAAGAACGTGTTTACCTCTCGCGGCCAAATAGGAGGGAAGTACCGATCAATATTGCACGATACAGAAAGACAGTTTCCAGTGCACTTTGGATATCACTGGTGTTGTTAGGTTGTTATCTGCCATTTGTTATAATGATATTCATAGAGTACATAACTTATGCGCCAATTGTTGCCTTATTTTTTGAATTAGCAGTAACTCTTGTTCAGTTAAATTCATCACTGAATCCATTGCTGTACTGCTGGAAAATTAGAGACGTAAGACAGGTAGTGAAAGATATGGTCAAAGAGTTTTTCTGCTCCCAAACTTAGTATTGCTGCAGGGATCTTTGCATTGGCCGGAATTTCCAGGTCACAGAAGTCATATTGAAGTCCGCTTCAGAGCAGAAGACTTATTTTATCGAGAAAATTGGATTTTACCAACATTCAATAAAAAGGGAGAGCTTTGCTCGCTGAAGATCCGTTGGCTGATCCTTAGCTACTTCTTGTCTTTATAATTATGACAGTCTAAAAGGATTGTCATTATTATCATCATCATTACTATCACCATCATCGTTATAACTTTTACACCGTATAGCTTCAGATTCCTGCTTAATCGTGAAATGGACACCTTAGGGAGAAAAACCCGGAGAAATTTATCATATCTTACTCACATTTGATATCAAGGTATAACAAGTTATTGACATCAGTGGTAAGGTCGTAAACAAATTATTGCGTAGATTGAAGAAAACCTGCCTCTTAAAATTGTTTTATTTTGGAAAAAGGTTTTCAAATCATATTTAATGAAAAAAAAAAGACAATAATAAACAAAAGACACCTGCACAAAACGTCCGATCTCTTATTTTCCCTTTGCATCTTTCCTTATTTGCAGCTAATTCTGATATGCTCCATTGATTTAAGGAGCAAGTGTCAGACGCAGGTTATAACTATGTCTAGTTGCACCTAAACTAGAAATATATAGACCAACTCATTAATTGGGGCTTTAGCCTGCTTGAGTTGCACCGAGTAAATTGACTACCATGTTTAACCCCTCGCCATTCTGTTACGCTTCGCCTTACAACTGATGTTTTGCAGTCTTTATGAAATATGTTTCTAAAAATGGCTGGAGTTTCACTACCATCGGTGTATCGTACAGTTCTTTTATTTTTAGCTTTAGAATATTACGCTGATTGCATTCTTTTCTTTTTTTGGAGCAAAAGCAGTAAGAAAAAGCGACCTAAGTCTTTTTCAAAAAATGTTTACTTCCGCTAAAATATTCTATTGCTCCATACTGAGAAAACTAAAGTGCCTTAAAATCACATGTTCCTTTGAGTGTCTCCAAAGCACTTCACTACAGGAATAGGTATGCTTATTCTCAAATTACATCAATTAATGTCTCTAAGGATAGCATCTGTTCTTATTAAGGCGATATGTTCTAGAACGCTATTCTTCTCCGGATCTTTCATGCCTCAGAGTAAGTGAATTCAAGTCTTTCGTAATCATTTTGATGTACCTCACTTAACGCGAAGTAGTCCGTATTGTTCTCTAACGGCAAATCATTGCAGGTACGTAGTCTAGAAACATCGATCTCCATATAGACAGGTTCATCGACTTGAGGGTCATCTCCGGCAGATTGGTATACGGGATTACCATACCCCATATCTATACCCCGGTCAGAGGCTGTCCTGCGGACGGCATTGTGAGACAAAACAAAATAAACATGGTTAAAAGTTGTCTTCGGGTACCAACAGTAAGTAACTAATCATATCAAATATTTTTTTCAATGGATGTTGTTCAATTTCTGTTGTGATCGCTGTAATTACTTTTATTTTACGACTCCGAGGGAGAGTCAGATGGGTCCAGACCCGCCCCACCCACCCCTTCCCAGCCAAAGCAGCGGTCCCTTCAACGGTTTGGTTATTTTAGTGAAGGGGAGGGGGGAGAAGGGGGTTACTTGAGAAGTAGCTATTTGCGAAAAAGGTATGATATCCGAAGGGTAATACGGACCCCACCTGTTAAACATTTGTGGATCGAACCCGGAACAAGAGGGAGAAGCCAACGTTACCGGGACGCCAACCAGGCGAAGAAAAAACTCAAGCAAAAGGCGGAAATCGAGTCTACATAAATATCGTCATTGCCAATAGCCCTACTGCGAGTAACGTTTATGTGAAAGTTACAAGGCGAGATCGATATCTTCACTTTCAGAAAACAATATAGAACAGATTTGATATTAAAAACTGTATGGTGAACTCCACTCAGAAGAGCTTTGTGGTTTTATATGTAACAATAAGTAAGGGGGGTTAATTTGTCAAAGAAACCATTTGATGTGTGATGTGTGTGTTTTGATGTGCGAAATATATCTATATTCCTTTCTACTTCTTAGTCTTCTTCTTCCTCTAATTTTATAAAGTTTCTTTTCTTTTGATAATTCATTTTTGTTACACTGTATCAGGATCAGAAAGGCTAACTTCATGACTTGTTTAGGGCTTTCTGTGCACTATGGGCTGAATAAATCCCCCTATAAGAAGATAACCCACTAAGGTCTCGTATTGGAGAATGTTTGTCGGATGCCTAATGCTTGTCAAGGTAACCCGACTGCAACTATTTGGAAATAGCAAAAACAAACTCACTGACGATGTTTCTTTACGCAGAAGATGGCCATGATAATCAGGGAAATAATAAACAGTACAGATCCTGCTGCAATACTTGAATAAAGAATTACTGGCTTTAAGCCGCCTTGTTGTTCATCACTGGATATACTTGCAATTTCTAGGGGGAAAAAATGAAGATCGCAAAGAATCAGACTACGGAGCTTCTGGTGAAATGAAAGAGCAAGCAAAAACAAGCACAACATGAGAAAGCCAATAACATTGTACGTCAGCTGTTACCTTGGCAATTTTTTCGCCATTTTGATCCTGTTTTTCCAACGGTTACCGTCCCAGATGGACACAGTACACAAGAGTTCTGCGCTTCTTGGTCCTGGTATTGGTCTTCTGGGCATGCTCGACAATCGTTGTCGGTAAAGTAAAAGCCAAGTGGACAGTTAACTAAAATAGAAATAAAAAAATTTGCATAAGCAAACGGCCAATGAGTAATTTCATTTAAGAGATCCTATAAAAATCATACATTGTGATATCCCCACCCCACTGCCACACAAAAATTATGTCCAATCTCCATTAATCCTCAGTTAAAAGTAACCTGTATTTCTGAATTCTCTATCAGCAAAAATTAAAATGAAGTTTTTAGACATTTGATGTAGCTGTTATACGTTAAGTTGTAGGACTCTTCGCACAAAGATGTGTTAGAAGTAGCAACTAACTTCTTACCGCACTGGGTTCCTCTTTGAACTTGTCCTTTGCCACAAATGAGACTCACAAGGCGAAGCTGTGGTGCTCTCGAAGTGTCATACTTTATAACTATTGCACTGATGTTCAGATTAAGGTCAGTTTCGTTTAATGTTGATAACAAGTTATTGGATAGTAGTTCTGCGGTTTCATTCAGGTCAACCAAGGAAGCGTTGGCTGGTAGAGGAACTTTCAAAGCAAAACGCACCGTAAGAGGAACTCTGGGCGTTTCTCTTCTCCTGCGTGTCCCTGTTTCTCCACATTCAACCTCGACATTATCGATTGTGCACTGACTATTACAGGCTCCAGCGATACCAAAAACTGAGTTCTGAAATAGCTGTATGAAGTTGCTAGCGATAACTTCGCTCATTGCTTCGTCGCCACATGCATCAACTAGGTAATGTAGGTCTCCATTCACCATGGCCTCTTTCGGCATGTACGTCTCTAGAATAACAGTTAATACTCAGATTTACAGTATCACTCGTAGTAACTGCAGATTAAGCAAACACCTCTGAAAAGAGAACCTCATCGGCTGGTTTCGGCTGAATTTTGCCTTTTACTAAGCTGGGAAGAAAGCAAAAAACCAACAAAAAAGCCCAACACGAAACATTAAATTAAGAACAGGACAATGCACCGACCAAAAAAAGAACATAAAAGGACCAAAAAATAATTTTAAAAACCTAACAAAAACAATTACACTTGTCCTTTGATTCACCGCTACGGATATATGATTATATCTGAGAAGTCATGTTATACCATTTCTCTATAAAATACGGTTACCTCAGTAAGTTGCAATTCCATGTGCCTGTTCGCGAAAAAGTCACGAAAAAGTCCCGCGCTTCAATCATGACATCATGTTTTTTTTCGTTAACTTATTCTAGTATTCATACAGATAAGAATAATAACAAAGCTAGTTCTTACTTGAGCAGTCTGGAAAAGCAGGTGCTTTTTGGCCATTTACAAATGCGTTCCTCCATGTTCCTCCTGGAGTACAGAAATACACGTCTTCCGGTTCTTCAATGAACCCGTAACCTTCATTGCAATGCACGGTACAGAACACCCCGGTCAGCCACATCTCACAAGCCTTGGCGCCGTTCTCAGGTGGTGGTAGATCAGGGCATGATTTATCTTGTGAAAAGAAACAACGGATTAACACTTTCACACCTCAGTAAAGCATCATATTTATTTAGAGCTATTTCAGTTCAATTTTTCTGTATGCCTTGTACATAGATGTGTAGACAAACACTCCTTTATGTCGTATGAGGTCGAGGAACGGGCTCAGAGCAATTTTCATCCCGTTGTTAAAAGTTATTGATTGCCGGAAGAAGAAAATGGTAAACTTAAATACGGAACAATCACCAAACAGGCCTCCCCAGTCTCCTCCGCATTAGATAGTTTGCTTCTTTTCAATGCTTCGAGTTCTCACTGGCTGCATTTATACACGCACATTCATTTATTCTCGTTGGCCATTCTACTTACTTTCGTTTTACAAACATCTATGAAAAGTGCTGTAAAAGAATATTGCTCACATCGTCACCAATAATGTAGTACTAGCAGTCTTTCTGCTGCTTCTAGAAGCCATGCACCCAATGTATCAGTAGAATAGGCATGAAATATGCTTATTTTCTCCCGAAATCATGCAAGAATGATCCAAGATAGAATCTTCGGCTGTCAGAACACGTTTGATTCCAACTCCTCGTGCATAAAATTATTAGCATAACTACACCTCATTATTTCATTTTTTGCCTTGGATATTCCATTCCTAGCATTCTAATTGCTTCAATTAAAATCGGTAAGCCCATATAAAGAACCTCTCTCTTTTTTTTTTCAATCAGGCTTATCTATTAACCAATTGACATGAAAAGACTGAACAAAATATATTTTTCTCATGGTGACTCATGACCGAATAAAAAAGACATCTTTCTTATTCTTCTTTAGGAAGCGTAAAAATTCACCATCTCTTTCATTCTACCAATATGCATATACTTACCGGTAATAATAACTTTGAAATTGCATTCGGCAACATTTCCTGCTTTATCTGTTACAGTAAAGGTTATATTGTGCTCGCCCCAAGTGAATTCGCTTCCATTCGGCCTGCTGGTTAAGATGGAGAACACTCCCACATTATCCGTTGTAATGACTCCAGGAAAAAAGATCGTATTTTCCCTCTTTCCAGACGAAAGGAAGATATCGTCAGGGCAAGAAACGATGACCGGAGGTTCTACATCTTTTTTTTGCATGGATAATTGAAAAAAAAAGTACATCGTGAAACAGGTAGATAAAACGAATCAGCTAATACTCAAATAAGTAATTGAATCAATCCTTTTCAAAATTTAAGGTATGACATGCAAGTTGATGGAGTGCTGATATAAGCTCTTCTAGTGAAACCAAAGCTAAAATTAATGGTTTCTTTAACTATATTATTTCAACGACAGGTATGAAGATTTTTAATTCCTTTATTGCGTCCAATGAATTTTACAGTTAGAACTTAAATGTCTTTATTAAAAGAGCTCAGTAAAAGTACAATGCGAACTTCAGTTTTCCTTTTTCGTAATTTGAATGAACTTCTAATATGTTTTGCATTTAATTAATTTCGCCTTGCTTAACTTGAATTAACTGTGCATATGCAGTCTAGTTGTTCTCACTTTGGTTTTGCTGCAGTCAACTTTTATTCCTTTAAAAGACATAAATAGATGCATAAGTGGGCCTCCATCTCCCAAAACGTCATAGAGAGTTTCAATAGGGCGATTGCTTTTACAGCTATCGGTTAAAATTTTGGCCATTGTACGGCAGAAGGTTAATTTCTACCTATCGTTATTAAAAACAAAATAAATGTTAAGGTTAACTCTGCTACGACTGATGGTTAAACCTGTCACTTTTTACGCATAAGGGTTGAACCATTTAAACCCTCAGTATCTTCAAGTCACAAATGAAAACAAAGAAGAAATTAAGCACCTTTGACGTGAATAGAAAATGTACAGCCTGTTGACAATCCAGCGGTGTCTGTGACTTCATATCGAACATAATCTCTACCAACATAGAACTGATGTGGTGGGCGCAAACCTTTCAGACTTAGTGACATGTTGGAGTTGTCGGAGGGGACTGGTACCTCCCACGTCACTGTTGCGTATGATTGGCCAGTTTCTGTGGGTAGTTCTTGGTTAGGTGGGCATTGAATGCTGGGAGGTTGGAAGTCTACGGTGTTAAAAAAAATGTATATATATATATATATACATACATATTTTTTAAGGAATAAAGTAAGTAAACTGTAGTGATAAACATCAATTATTAAAGCGTATATTAACGCCTACTCTTAATCTTTCTCTGCTTATCTAACTTAAGATGTGTCATTTTGTAAGAGTTTTAAAGATATATTTGCTTTTATTTGGTACCCTTGCAAATCGTGTTTGTAACATCTGCACTCCACGATCCACTTTCAAGACAGGATACGCTACTTTCGCCTTCCAGTCGGTAACCAGGGGTATCGTCGCACGATAAGAAGCACTGGGTTTTATAATGAACACCAGAAGCTGATCTGCACGGATTTGGAAAAACAGCTCCGTGAGATGGAGGCTCAATGGCTTGGCACCTCACAACTTAAGATAAAAAAATCATGTGATTAAGTTCCTGATTTTGCTGAAGCCATCAGGAATCCTCAATTTGAGCCACGTCTTTGAAACGTCTCCAATTTACCTTTGATCTAACCACGAATCTAACTATTTTCGAGTTGACTTTAAAGATAATGATTGTTAGGCTTGTCACTTAAACGCGAAATGGCTTAGACTGTTTGATTTGTATAACCAATTCCTACACTGTGGTAATCATAAATGTTATCAAGAAAAACCCTTAAATTCCTAAATTGCGGAACTATTTCCTGCATTGGGGAAAAAATAAAGGAAAAAGACTGGAGACCAAACGCAAGGAGACCGTCAAATAACATATACTTACTGTTACATGTGGTGGTGTTTCCTGACCAAGAACCGTCTTCTTTGCAAAAACGCTCTCGAGACCCGATTAATTGATATCCCCTGTCACAAGTAAAATTAGCTTGGGAACCAAATGAAAATCCACAGGAAAGGCTCAAATTTCCATGTGATGGTGGTTGCAGTGTAATGCAGGATTTCCCTGTAAAAATAAAGTTTTATTATGTTGAACTAACGCAATTTCAAGTGTTATAATACCCTTGTATGAAGTATTATTGTAGTTTCAAGAGAGAAACTATCAATCTACTTAGGAACAATTTTGCTTGCGATAGTTTAGAAGATAGGTATAACAAAACATAGATGTCTATTAGAGTGTATACAAGTAATATATAAACATTTTTCAAAAGCGAAAGAGAGGCATAGTCAATGTCACATATTTCGATGACATACTTGCAACTTGCACCACGAAGGTGCAGTTAGCTCTGTTTCCTTCTGCGTCTGAAGCTGAATACATTATATAATAGAGACCAATTCCCAGTTGAGCTGACGATCGAATGGAAGGGTAGGTAACAATCACATGACCAGAATTGTCATCAGCAATTGGTTCATTCCATATCACCAAAGCACTGGATGAGCATTCAGGAGTATAGACCACCATATTCTCTGGACAAGAATTGTTGAAAGAAGGAGGTGTTGTGTCTGCAAAAGGAAAAAAATTGCAAAATTGGAATAAACTCATATATATATTCAAAAAACTCTCTCAAATCAAATTTCATTTCAACCATAGGTTTTATTTACATGTTTATAAATCGCGCTTATTTTTTCGTAAAAATATGGTCAATACGTTATATATAGAAAGACGAGACGATATCTTTGCAGCTGACAACCATGAACTATTTTGTAATGCAACTATCTAATCTAGTCAAGTTTTGCATGCAAAGTTGTGAAAATAATGACTCAGCAAAAATTGGTGGTTGGGAGATATAAAAAGGCCTTCGTTGGGGAGGTTTTTTCCCCCATCATGTTGAATGACGTCAGTGTAACCCGTAATTCTATCCCAGTTTGTAGCTTAAGCAATGCATGAAAGTTAAAGTACCTACAGAATATGAAGACTGCAAACTATGATTCTCCTGAAGGATTGAGCAACTCACCCTTGCATCGTGTGTCGTTTGAACCTGTCCATTGTCCGTCTTTACCACATGTTCTCGATGAGGTCCCATACGGAGAGTATCCCGGTCGAGAGCAAGTTAATCTGCAGGTCTGGCTGTAGTTACTTATCGATAAGCAAGATGGTGGGGAAATCGAACCATCAGTTGGTGGAACAAGTGGACTGCACGTGATAACTGTGTAAGCAAAAAAACAAAACGTTGACATAAAACCATTGGGTAAATTTTGGGAAGACAATGTTTTTGTTTCTTACTCAGACATAAGGACGTTTCTCCACTCCAGGTCCCGTTCTCTAGACATCGCCTGACAGACGATCCAACCAGGATGTAACCAGCGTTACAGTAAAAACTGCATTGCGTGTCATAAAGTTCGGACAGTGAGTCACCACAGCCCCTCTCACCTCCGTTTGTTGGAATGGAAAGAGAAGGACATCTTATCCCTGGTTAATACGAGGAAATGGTAATTCAAATTAGATTTTGATAAACTCAATGCCTTGTAAGATGTCTTGTCAAAGGCCACTTACTTTGACAGATAGGTACAGGGTTGTCCCAAACACCTGGAGGTCTATCACGCTGGGCAACACATGTAACATCTGATGAACCATTCAAACGATAACCACTGGCACAGGAAAATTCACAGCGCGCTCCATAATGATTACTACAACTTCCCATGCGCAAGGGACCCCCTATGTCTACCATAAGTGATGTGCAATTGATTACTGAAAAACACATAAATTGAATAATTAATGAATAAGAAAATTTAAATGAAGCAAAAAGGTTATTAAGTTCTTTATGGCACGATTTGTTCCTCCTCAACGAAATTCTAGGTCAGTTAATGCTGGAGCCCATCATCAACACCTTGACGGCACCGGTTGGAATCAATTGCTTAAATTAAAATTTACCTATTACTTCTATGGTGAAGCTGCAAGTGGCTTTGTTTCCTGATTGGTCTGCTGCAGAGTATGTAATGATGTAAGTTCCTTGGCGAAATCTCCCGGGTGGATGGTAATTAGAGTTTATAAACGGTTTGAATCCTGAGTTGTCAGTCGCCGTTGGTACCGTCCAATTCACTTCCGCGGAAAACGTTTCACGTTCTGCATACGCTACCAAAGGACTGGCTGGACATGGGACATCAAATGATGGAGGAAGAATATCTGACACACAAAATAAAATGCTTAGAAAAATAGGTGATAAAAATGGAAAACAGAAGGAAGTCATAAAGGAAGTAAGGATCTGTTCGCTGTTTGTATCGTTACTGCTTATTTTGGACGCCAGGAAGCCCTTTGCAAAAGGATCTACACAGTATTGATGAAGAGATTTTTTTGATCGTTTGTTATTTTTCGCTCTTGTTATTGATTGTTGTTTGTTTGTTCGTTTGTCGTAACGTCATGCAGAAAATAAAACCCTAGGGATGTGGCAGCACCTGTACAGTTGATGTTATTCCCACTCCACAGACTGCTCTGTAGGCATGTTCTTGTGACATTTCCGTTGGCACTCCTATAACCACTTTCACAGCCAAATACACAATTTGAACCATACGTGTTGTTGCAAGCAGAGGTCAGTAGCACACCTTTCGGCGGGATGATCAAAGTTGGACATGTTATGACTGTTTAAATAAGACGAAAACTAAAATAAACTGATGTCACTTCTAAAATACCAAAAATGTTCATTTTGCAAAAGATGGATAACTGACTTGTGTGGTCCTTAGCAGGACTTCGAATAATGAATAACACTTTTGCACCTTGGCAGAAGAAGTCCTGACCACTCCAGGTCCCGTTTTCAAGACACTTTCTAGAAGCAGAGCCGATTGGGTCGAATCCAGGAGAGCAGAAGAAAGAACATACTGTATTGAAGTATTCTAATGTTGTCCCTGTACAGCTCAGCCGAAAGCCATTGGACGGTTCTGGCAGAGCAGAGCACGTAACAGCTAAAAGACATAACAAATGATTCATATTGTGCTCATTTAAACTACAACAGAGGTTTAGATTAAAAAAAAACAGTGAGTCTGTACAGAAGTGGAAAATAGGAATAGGAAAATCTGTTATAGACAGAAGAACTTTGCTCTCAGGACAAAAATATGAGTTTTATTCCCTCAAAGCAGTAGAATGATGGACTCTTAACTCTAGAACTGGAAAATATGCAATGTAGAATGGATGCAAGTGTTTCGGAAGATCCTTTTTCTTTGAACCCACAACTAGTCAAAGAAAGGGATGGGATAACTCTGAAACGAAACGCTGACAGAATTTTTTTTTTGACGCGATACGAATACTAGAGAGTAGAGAGATTGCAGCTGGTGACAAGAAGAGACCAGCCAGGTTCTTTCCAAGATGCACCCATCCCAAAACACCCATCCCCATAATCCATCCCCGAGAATCATTTTGGAAGAAAAAGAAAGTAATTGAGGTCAGTTACCGTTACATTGAGTCGGAGTTCCTGTCCAAGTTCCATCACTGTTACATGTTCTTGTGGTTGATCCCGTCAAAATGTACCCTTTGTTACAAGAAAACTCACAGGTTTGTCCTGGCAAACTAGAGCAGGGCTCTAGACTTCCATGTGGCGGGGCATACAGCTGTTGACAACGGTTCACTGTGAAAAGAAAACGAAAAAGGAATTTTTTTTGGAAATACACAAGAAATCGCGAGAGCTCCAAAGATGCGTCAGAACTGCAACTGAAAAAAACGAAGAAAATAATACCTCCTACAGTCTTCAGTGTCTCCAGAACGTAGCAGGTGTATCATTAAACGATGAACGCATAATCAACGCACAAATCAGACATTCTATTACATTTTTTTTAACATTTTGTGTCAATTCAAATGTTGTATCATAATATGTAAAAAAATTATTTCTACCACCTTTCAGGGTGCTTACTCATGTTAGAGGAGTGAACGGATGTAACCAAGTTTTGACTTTCCTTTACAATTTCAAAACATTACAATCATGCAATGAAAATAAACTTACAGTCGATATCTCTAGTCCCTTACCTCCTTCACAGATGAGGGCATCACCAGGCTTCAGCTGAACTCCTTCTGGACAAAAACATTGATGTCCACTCGGATTTGGAAGGCAAAGATGACTACAGCCTCCATTGACTTTAGAGCAACTTGTTGATCCTGAAAAATGCGTAAACTCTTAACTGTGATCATAGCTTTGTGCAGTCAACTTCACTTTAACTAGGGCGAGGTTATGCCGTGTTTGGAAATAAAAAAGGGATTCGATGGCATCTCCAAACTTTATCTCCTCAATTATGTGAATGTTATATAAACGCGGGAAAATTGACGCAAGAATGATTTTGATGGAAAAAATAATGAAAGCGCTGAGCCAATATCTAAATTCATTCAGTTAAAATGTGGAAATGTTCTACTAAGTTTAAAGTAAACCAGTCATCAAGCCAGCCAGGTCATCCTGGTAAAGATTAGAGAAATAGAGTTAGCCAGTCCAGAGTGTGCACCCACCTGTGAATGTTTTTGTTTGATCATAAACATGCACGTCCATCGGCCTTCCCATTCCATACACCAACACGTCACTTTGAGAAGATGTCAAATTATAGCTATGAATACTCTGATTGCTCCAGTCAGACCAGTAGAGAGTGTCACCAGACAAGGAAAGTCCAAAGGGATGATGGTTGTAAGAAGACAAATCAAGAACTAGTTCTCGGTTATTTCCTTGAAGGTTTGCTCTTTCTATCTTATCAAGTTGTGCATCGCACCAATACAACAGGTTATTCTGCGAATCCAGAGCAAGTGCATTAACCCACACAAGTCCAGAGCTTACAATGATTTTCCTGGCTGACCCGTCCATGTTAACTTGCTCAATCTTTGGTGTTGATCCCCAATCACTCCAGTACATTTGCCTAAAATAAATTTTTCACAGCACTGAAAACATTCTCACTGTGTTTTTCATCGTTTAGCATTTCATCAATGGAAACATTTACTGAGTTATCACTATCATCCATGCTCCAACTTTGGGGTCTTCACTCAAATAAGATAAAAATCTCTCTCAAAGCTAATGAACGATGAATAAAAGTTTCCCAGCTGTTACAGGAAACAGCAATATCTTCAATGATATCCCTCATAGCTTCAGTATCGCTTGCAATATACCCGTATACCTATCTTTGAGTATTATCTGTTCCTCGAAGTAAACAGCTCTCCTCAAGATTCACTCTGGAAGACGTTCTGTTTCTCGTTACAAAAAATGTCCAAGGACAAATATCACGCCATTTGGAGATTATTATAGTAATATTCGTGTGCAGAGAAAAGCACATTACAGTTACGTAAAAAACTTTCTCAAGATCAAAGCAAATTTTAAATGTGACAGTCCTCCCTTTTGTAATAGCTGGAAACTTTCGAATTTTCAACAGTTATTTTCTTCTGTGTATCATTAATATGACAAATATCAAGACAAGTAAAATGTAAAATGAATTAAAACAAAAAAAATTCGATTACCTCTCAGGTATATCTAGAATTATAGCTCTTGGCTTTTCAATCCCTGTTGTGATAAGGCTTTTCCGAAATGATCCGTCTAGCCGTGCTACCTCAAGTTTACTAGTTCCAGTATCAGTCCAGTAGAGAATCCTTCCAATGTAATCGATTGCAAGGCCATCTGGTGTTATCACGTCAGTGTCCGCTATGACCTCAACTGAAGATCCGTTTGGAAATGCTCTTGCCAACAGCTTCAGGGTCACATCTGTCCAATAGATTTTACCCTCAATTGGGTCGTAGTCAACAGCCACGGGCCTGGAGATATTAATGTTGATTTGAAGCAGATGGCAAGGTGTGTTCGCCACTGCTAAAGGAACCTTGTAAATTTCACCATGATCCGCTTCGGCGAAGAGCAAATAAAGTTCGCCGCTTGTCTTAAGGAACAAATCTTTAAGGTGGAAAATAAAAATCGACAACAAGAACAACAAATAAATAAATAATAAACGGAAAGATTTTTTTAATGATTGACCTCACTTCAGGCCTTATTTTTGTGAATAAAATCTACCCATGAAACCCGGAAACGACTTTTAGTAAATAAATAGTATGGTGTACACACTATTCACGAACCCCAACTTGTTGCTTGGATTTTTTTATTTTTTCCGAAAATTTGAAAGCTTATCTCTCCTTCGCTACGGGAATCTAAGATGATAGATGAGTTCTTGATACGCACGGTCAATGATAAGAAATACACCCCTTCCCCGCCTTCTTACTGTTATGCCTGAAACATTAAATATGTAGCCTCACCATAGTCGCAATTTTTTCCGTCCTCCTTAAGAGCAATTCCCGTCGGGCATGCGCACTGGTATCCTCCTGGCTTTACAAGACACAAACCACTGCACTTGCCATTGTTTTGCGAGCAAGAATGCGAGCCTTTAAAGCGAAAGTAAATAATAATTATAAATAATCATAAAAGTTAAGATCAGTGATTATTTCTAAGTGTCATTTTCAAGCCTCTTGAGCAACTCGTATCATCAATTACCACCTTTGATAAGACACCATCGGATACAGAATCATTAAACCTTTCTCCACAAAGTTTATCTTTTTATCTTTTCTCGGTATCGGGAGAAATTATTGGTTAAACTACAAATATCATGATTACTTCAAATGACATTTGAAAGAAAAAGGTAACGGTCCAATGATTGCCTGAACTGCGGCAAGGTAAGACTTTTTTATATAAATCTGCCCGTAATTGATTGCCTTTATGAAACTTTGCTTACTCCGAGAAGATAAGAAAGAGGCAATACTTTTACCTGAGAGAATCAAGGAAGGATCAAAGACGTGAATGTCCATCGGCTTCTGTAGATCAGGAATCACGATGTTCATCTGACCACTAGTTGCATTATAACTTGTAACACTCTGGCTATTCCAGTCTGTCCAGTAAATAATGTCCTGATAGATTGTTAATCCATAAGGATGAATTCCAGCTGTAGATGGTAAAACAGTCTGTCGGTTTCCTCCATCAAGATCAGACATCTCTATAATTTTTAGTTTCGCATCTGCCCAGAACAAACGGTTTGTAGCCTGGTCGAGGGTAAGTCCGTTTGGCCAGGCTAGATTTCCTGTAACGATGGACCTTCTACCTGAGCCATCCATTTCTGCTTTCTCTATCTTCGGATTGGCGCCCCAGTCCGTCCAATACATCATACTAAAAGAGATTATTTATTCCAAACAGTATTAAGAAATTTTCTGACAAAGTTCATCAAGGTTTAGCCCTTAACGGAGCCAAATGGCCTCTCACAGTATATAAGGTATACGAGAGAGCTTTTAAATGTTAAACATAGCCTTTCAGTTGTCTACGGCTTTGACACAAGCTAAGTACAAGAAATGCTGTTACCTAACTGAATCGACCTAAAAAGCAGGAAAAAGCTGAGAGATGTGCGAAAACGACGACCAAAGAAATGCCTACGTATGCTTATGATATAAAAACTGAAAACAGCCATCTATTTTGCAATAACTACCCAGTAGATGGCTGTTTGCAGTTTTTATATCATAAGCGTACGTAGACATTTCTTTGGTCGTCGTTTTTGCACATCTCTCAGCTCCTTCCTGTTTTTTAAGTCGATTCAGTTGGGAAAAAGCATTTCTTGTACTTAGCTTGTGTCAAAGCCACGGACAACTGAAAGGCTATATTTCATATTTAAAGGCTCTCTCTTTGTCAGTACTTCTTTGCTTATTCCACTACAAAGCGTTAACCAATGGATACAAAAACATTGCAATTAAAAAAAACTTGCCCATTTCTTTCATCCAATAGAATGCCTCTCGGTTCATCAAGTCCAGTATTGATCAATTCTCTCCTCCCTGATCCGTCAAGACGCGCTACTTCAATTCTATTAGTTCCAGTATCAGTCCAGTAAATGTTCCGTGCTAAATGATCAATTACTAAACCATCAGGGCGTAGGATATTACAACGAAAAAGAATCTTCAATGAAGTTGCATTGGTGAAAACGCTCGCGATTAGACCTTGAGCAACATCCGACCAGTACACGCGATCTTCGACAGGGTCATAGTCCAAAGCGATAGGACGCTGATTTCCTACATGGTTGAATAGTGTTTGAGCAACGAAGTAGCGTACATCCAGTGAAATGATATTTGTTGATTTGTCGTCGGCGTCAGCAAAAAGAATGAACTTCTTTACTTCTGCAATTGAAATCAAAACAGCGTTTGTGTCATTGAGAGACTCTTTGTAGCGAGGATGATTGACTCATCTCAATGCAGCAGATTGTGATAACCCTCAATTTCTTATTGATTTCTCGAACAAAGAATGCGCGTAACGACCATGCATTACCCGTAATGTTTTGGAATTTTAAAGCTGCTTTAAACGTGGCATGTATGTTCGCCGGTGGGTGGGTGGTGGAAAACTTTACCTGTTTAAATCACGTGGTATTCTCAGGTATTCGTTGCATCTCTAAATTTGACCGTTATTAGAATTGCAGAATTACAAGCAGACAAGTAATATTACATTCTACTTGAAAAGGCTGACATAGCTTTCTGGGTATCTATGCATCATCATCGGCCATCAATAAAAAGTGCTCTTACTTTCTTCACATGTCTTTCCATCTTGCTTTACTGCTAGGCCTGTAGGACACACGCATTCATAGTTGGACGCCTTAGGAACACAGAAATGACTGCATCCTCCATTGTTTACAGAGCAAGGACCTGAAGCTTAAGAGAGAAACAAGTTTTTAACGTGAAGCGTGCAGTTTATACTGTCGACCATACAATTATTTCAGAAGATGGACACTTTGACGACACTAATGACGCCGGCGTAGTACTCGACTATTTCAACTACCACTTCTTCGTACACTTTAGTCCAAATTCTGACCAGGAATGCAACTGTCGGCGATTGATCATTAAAAATGAGAACAGATAAAAATGACGATAGTCAATCATTGAAATGCTATGTGTCAAAGTACGGCTGTGTAATAATAGCTTTGTTTACAGTATACCTATGAGTTTGCAAGCTGTTATTTTGGCTGAAAAACTGAGAGAAATGTCGTTGAAATGTACATGTTAAAACGTCGAAAAAAAAGATGTTTAAGGCTTTGACATCAGCTCTTCACGAGCGGAAAGCATCTTTCAGTGCCCTCACTCATGGCAGACACCAGAATGAAAACTTTTTTAGCGGCTATTTGATATCCTCATTATGAAATGCACCGAGACTCAACGCTAAAATAACGTACAAGAATTCTTCAATACCCTCCTGACTTTCGCAGGTGATTACCAACAGTGTCATAACCTTCCTAATATTACCTGCTGGTTGCCGCCCGCTGTCGTATGCAACAATTCCCATAGGTTGCCCACCATTAATACTGAAACTTTTTAGTACCTCTCCGGTTGTAGCGTCTAGCATGTGAAACTCCCTGTGTGTCGCCCAGTCAGTAAAGAACAGGAAAGGAGGGATCAACGCCACTCCGAATGGATGTAATCCTTGCATCTGAAATAGCAGTTTCCTGTTGTTACCATTGTAGTCAACCGATTCCACTCTGTCATAACGGGCATCTACCCAATAGACTCTTTTGCCTCCTCTGTCGAGGTCAATTCCATTCGGCCAGTAGACTTCTGTTGTTACGATGGCGACTCTTTGCTGTCCGCTCAAGGAAGCTTTTTCAATTTTTGGATTGCTTCCCCAGTCAGTCCAAATCATTGCACTGTTTAAGTGACGGCATCAATGGATTAAACTTAATGTAGATTTTTGAGGTAAAACAATGCATAAATCATTTATCCAGCCAGCTAGCCAGCCTACCGGTCGGTCATTCAATGGGTCGGCTTACCAGCCAGTTAGCAAACCATTTAGTTGGTCAGTCTGTCATTCAGCCAAATCGGTACATCAGTCAGTGAGTCAGTAGGCCGGCTTTTAAATCAGTCAGTCGATGAATTCACGACTTGTTAATTTACAGTTCGAAAGGAAGACTTAAGACGATTAGCAAAGATCGATTACACTTTATAGTTATCTTGTTTAGATTCTCAACGATGTCAACACAAGAAGAAAAGAAAATTTCTTAGAAGAAACACCATTTAAACCATTCTGGAATATTTGAAATGAGTCTCATTTCGGGAGATAAATTAAGTCGACGACTCAAACAGCTAAGGTAATTTTCCTGCTTGAAAAAAATAAAATATAAACATAAATTGGTTTTGAAAAAAAAATTATCGCCACTGCTTTCAAAGAGATTTGAATTGGTAGAGACATTGTAAAAAGTTGCAAAGAAGCTCTTCAGAAATCGCTTGCGCTCTCCGAATCTCACTAATCGACGTATTGAAAGTTCGATAAGTACACACTGTAGCCCCATAATTATAAGAAATAGTAGTAACGCATCAAGCCGAAAAAAATTGGACTTATGACCGTACGGGCGTCCCTACAGGGTGCTACTTTTAGCATGCGCGGCCAACTTGTACCGTAGACACTATTTTAGCTATTTTCTAATGGAAGGGCGAAGGGGAAGGTAATGCGCAAGCGCGACTGCTTGCCTAACTTGGACACCCCATTAGTGTGCGCTAGGAGACACAGGCAGATGACAATGAAGTGCGCATACTTGGGTGCCGAGCGTCAGTGCAGCGTACCGCGGCTTACGGTTAGACATTTCATGAGGGCTTCACATGGGCTAGTAGATGTGAAGCTGTTTAAGCAAATAATTTGCAACCCGCCTTTTAAGCGGGAAAACAAACTAGTGACGATGTAGTTGAACAGTAATTCTAAGTATTTAGCAATTTCTAATTTTGCACTTTCTAATTTCGTATAAATCCTGATCATATAAACCCTCGCGCCGGTTAATCGCTCGAATAACATTTCAAAGTGTTTGTATTCTTCAAGTTATTTCTTGTCTTACCGTTTGGAATGTTTAACAGAGTCGAGGTGTTAAAGGAAAAGAAGTTATCTGACGGATTTTGTTATTTTTCAAATGATGGCCAACGGCGAACGCATGAGTCTATTTTTCTCTCTCTTCAATTAAATGTCGCAGAATTTACTCTAATCATTTAAAAAGAACCCCAAAAACGAAGTAATGGCCTTTCACTAAATTGAAATAAAACGAGATTGAGTCAGTGATGTTCATGTTTACATTTAGTCTGACGCGGTAATTTGATTTTGACAATATTGTCATGTGATAACCCGTCAAACATCTGAGAATTATATTACGGACCGCAAATTTGTGATGCAAACAAACCCAAAGGTAAAATGGAGGTAGCGCCACAGCGGGATGAGTGAATTTCATTGTTTTGTTGTTGTACTTTTCAGCGCTATGTTTTCATGCTTTCTACTTGATTCGTTCGAACTTCAGGAAATGGTTTGTCTCACCAAACATGAAGCCACTTTCTCTTTACTCAACATCTCGAGGCGTACTAATACTGCTCAGGTTATGATAATTATGCTTGTGATACAATAATTTTTTCTAATGCTGGAAACTCTAGAATCAATCTCCGAGATTGATAGTCATTACATTTTGCAAGAAGCGGTTGAGTTGTGATCGTGTAATTAAACGAGATCCTGACAATTTGACCTCACAAGCACGCTGATAAGCAACTGGTTAGCGTAAATAATTGTTGTTTACAGCTTTCGATTTCAAGAGCAGTTTTCGAGAGTCCGAATCTGTAACCTTCTTTGATATTTCGTGCTGATTTCATTGAGGTACAATCTCGGAACTTCATAAGCGATTATGAACGATAAATTAGTTTCGCTACCATAATTTAGGGAAGTTTTGTCAACAAAAATTTCTGTGACCTGCTTGGATATTCTCTTTTGAATTAATTGAGTCACATCATCGGAATTTCATCAGTAATATGGAACGATAAATCCATATTTGTAGCACCAGTGAAGCACATTTTAAACTTTCATACAATTTAAGGAAACTATACGTAATTGACTCTCGATAAATTGGCCTAGCATAATTCGTTGATTATTTTATTACTTTGTAGCCCTTAAGTCCCGGCTTATGACTTTGGAAGTACTGAACTTGATATATTTGATACACAAGGCACCCTTCAATGAAAAAGGTTGGAATAAAATTGCTTTGCACCCGGCTGAACGTTGATAATTGCTTAAAATATACCTATCATAGCTGTATTCAGAAGCATATACATGTAGGTAATATGCTTTTGCTTTATTCTATTGTAAGGGTTTTTTTTTATGTAAACTGAATCAATTACTTTAATTTCCTCCTTAACCCGCCAGCAAAAAATTAAAGTTTATGTTTTGATTCAAGATAACACAGAAGCGTAACAGAGTTCTCTTTCCAGATTGAATTCAGGTTAGAACATCAATAAACTGGTTAATGTTATATCCTTCTACTGAATCTTTAATTTTATTGTCCTGGTTTTTTTCACAAAGCCTCCTGTATATCTGTGTATGTTAGGGAATGATTAAAACCTAAGTGAGTAGATATGCCATATTTTAGTAGTTTTTTTAAATTCATCTTTAAGTTTCTGGCATTTAAAATTCATAAATAGCATTCCATTTCTATCCTTTAAAATTCATAAATAGCATTCCATTTCTATCCTTATAAAGAGATATTACACATTTCTTTGACTAGACTTCATTTCAATAAGTTTGAAACTTCATTCTACATAAGAACACTTTACTGAAGTATAATGTTATATTTATTTGCTCTCTTTTTGGTACATATGATTACCATAAGTGTCTTAACCCTTTAACTCCCAAGATTTCGTGAGTAATTATCCTTACTGTCTGCCATGCAATTTATGTGATATTAGTTTGGAGAATTTGGAATTGGATCAACCAACAATCCCCTAATTGATATTTTTCTTTATTCTCATAACTTGTCTGCTTGATATTGTACTGATAGTGTAAGGAGAAATTCTGTCTAGATCACTAGTGGGACTTTAACGATTAAAATGGAGGGTTTCATTATATTGAAATGATTAAAATATCGTTATGCTTTCAAATGTAACAAAAAATGAGATGAAAATCTGATGTTATAAAACACTTGCAATGGAAAAACCTCAGTTTGCTGGTAGCTTAATTATGTCTTTTAAATGTTTAAATTTTCTTGGGAAATGCTTTTCTTTTAAAGCAGGGATACAGAAGTTTTCAAAGCTGATAGAAATAAGGTTTTTGCAAGTAATAAACACTACCCTTGCAAAAACAATCTTATCTTATTCCTATTTTATGTCTATTTTAATGTTATCACATCTATTTTTATACTATTTTATTCTCTCAGATAAAATAGAGCCACTATTTTAAACCTATTTTAAGGCATGATTGAACAAGGTGGTGTATTTTATTTCTATTTTCTCCAAAACGAGTGGAAAAATAACCAGCTAAACAGACTATTTTAATCCAATTTTCATTTTCTACATCAGTAAAATAGTGATAAAATAGGCCGTTTTATCTATATTTTCTGCTGATAGGACATGATATGACCATTTCCTTTGGAAAATATGAAAAAAATAGGCTATCACAATCTTATTTTATCAAAGAAAATGTTGAATAATTGCAAAATAGGTTTAAAATAGACTGTTGTATTTCTATTTTTTGAGGTGGATTGCAAAATAGGTATCAAATAGTCTTTTTTAATTCTATTTTCTTCAAAGTATCCCAGACCCACAATACTTTAAACAACAACCACCTAGATGTGTAGTGTAATAACCTGTCCTATTTTATTCCTATTTTATTAATGAATTCAAGCTTGACTAGCAATGTATTGTCGTTCTTTATTACAAAATATTATTTTAAGGTAGCTGTTTGGTACTTGCACCAATCATATCTTCACTACATACACTGGAATTCAAAAGTCACAGTTACTGTTTTAAGGAGATAAAGACGGGTTCAAAATTGAAGACGTCAGGCCGACGTTTTTAATCTGCGTTGTTATAGCTTTTCCGTTTAAGTTTCTTTCTTTGTCAAAGAGTTGAACGCGAAGGCTTGCCTTTAGCATCGAATCTCCACTTTTTATTGCCCGGATCGTCGCTTGGGTCATGTTTAACTGAAACTGATCAACAAATCGATCAGCACAGCAACCAAGCTTGCTCAGAGTGGGTTTTGAGTCTTTGTTTCCTCGACAACTTCCGGCCACAAATCGTGCATTTGTAATACGTACGATTCTTGTCGATTATTTCTACATAGAGTGAGCCCACATCGTTATTTATATTATCGTCAGACAATGGATAGGTCAAAGAAATCAGTATCAACTTCTGCGCTTCTCTTGAAACTGCAATCGGGCAAACCAGAGGATTCTCTTTACTAGCCAATGACAATTCCCAAAAAGAACGTGATCATGTCTATGATCGGAAACAAAGAAGACTCCATTTCGCGCTCATCTTTGAATGTACTTTTCAACGGTTGATCGCTCGTGCGTCATGTTATTTCTATTCTCAACTGTTTTGCTTAATATAACATTTCTAAAGATGGGTTTTATTGTGAATCAATGGGAAAACGAGAACAGCGTGAGTGTTGTAAGTGGAAAGAAAGTCGTTGGCGCCGTGGAGTTAAAAGAAGGGACAACAGTTGACATATTGACTGGTACAAACAAGGGTCGAGTGGCCATTTATAAAGCTACGATTTTGAAAGTTTGTGGTAAGTAAAAATTGCGATATTCGTTACGTGATCAAAATCTTACCAAAGAATAGATTTAACGGCTTGAATTAAGCTTACATAACGTTCGGCGCAACTGAAACTCGAATAATTCTGAGAATC